GATTGAAAATTATCAACCAATCAAATTATCAGGCACAGCTTTAATAATGTAAAACACTCCAGTTTTAATATTTTTGTCAAACTGTGTGGATACAGAAAGCAAGAATTATACCTTCCAGAGCGCCAGAGTCCAGAAAGTTCTGAGAACCTTCCAGTCCGGTCTCCTCACATGACACGTGAGGGGCAGTCTCTCTGGGGCTTTTTCAGGGAACCTTCCGGGTCACCCCAGGTGTGCTGAGGGAGCAGGCGCTATAAGGAAGCAGGTACGTCTCCACTCCCCTGAGGAAGGGCTGAAGAGGCATCGTGTGGTATGGCACCATGTCGGTCTCTAAGATGCTGTCCCTCCCACAGTGTGGTCCTCAGGCAGCCCAGGCCTGTGAGAGCTTCATGTCCCTGAGGGACACCCCAGACACAACCCCCAGCTTCTTGCCCTGAGAGCTGGCTCTGGAACAGGAGGTGCCCGGAACCTTCCCTGATGTTGCCGTGGTGCCCACACAGCCCCTCGGAAACCAAAGGCAAGCTCCCCACAAAGCAGCTTGGATGAAAAGAAGAAGAGGGCGAGCCCCACATGTCATGAGATCTTTCGGAACTCAGGCTCAGAAGGCGGACATCCCCAGCTCCCCTGTAAACCAGAGGCCATCCAAAAACACTGCTGAGACCCCCACGATGGCAGCTGCTACATCTGGCCAGCTGCCCCTGTAAACACTCCTGGAAGGACCGCACAGTGAGAGCAGAACGTGAGGCTGGTACTTTTCACCCCCTTTAGAGACATAGAAAGGCATCCCGAGTAACAAGTAGTGCATGGACTTAGCCCCTTCTGGTCAACCTGGGAGGGAGGGGCTCCCAGGCTTCCAGGCTGCCCTTGGCAATGGGAAGCAAGGGTCTAAGGGACCCACTCAGAGTGATGAGAACTGGCTCTCAAACCCATGAAGACACATGCTGCCAGATTTAGTGAAAACAGAACAAAGATTTCCCCAGACCTTTGAGAGACCCTTGTCGTTATCAGGTGTCATTGAGTTAGCCCCAACTCACAGCAGCAGAACAAAACACTGCCCAGTCCTGTGCCAGCCTCCTTACAGTTGCCATCCTTGAGCCCCTTGTTGCAGCCACCGTGTCCTTCCATCTCCCTGAGGGGCTTCCTCTTTTTTTTTTTTTTTTTTGCTGACCCTCTACTGATGTCTTTCTCCAGGGACTGGTCCCTCCTGATAACATGACCAAAGTATGAGAGACAAAGTCTCATCATCCTTGCTTCTAAGCAGCGTTCTGGCTGTACTACCTCCAAGACAGACTGGTTTGTTCTCGGGCAGTCCATGGTACATTCAATATTCTTCACCACCACCATGCTTTAGATGCCCCAGTTCTTTGGTCTTCCTCATCCATTGTCTGGCTTTCACACACACACACACACACACACAAGACTATTGAAAATGCCGCGGTGGGTCAGGCACTCCTGCTCTGAAACACTTTAAGGAGTCCCTTGCAGCAGATTTGCCCAGCGCAATGTGTCGTTTGATTTCTTCACTGCTGCTCCCAGGGACATTGATTACAGATCTAAGTAAAATGAAATCCTTCACAACTTCAGTGTTTTCTCCATTTATCATGATGTTGCTTGCTGGTCCAGCTGTGAGGATGTTTGTTTTCATTATGTTGATATGTAACCCATACTGAAGACTGTAATCTTTCATCTTCTTCAGTAAGTGCTTCAAGTCCTCTTTAGTTTCAGCGAACAAGGTTGTGTCATCTGCATATCGCAGGTTATTAATGAGTCTTCTTCCAATCCTGATGCTGCATTCTTCTTTATGTAGTCCAGCTTCCTGGATTATTTGCTCAGCATACAGCTTGAACAAGTATGGTGAAAGGATGCAACCCTGACACACACTTTTCCTGATTTTAAGCCATAATCCTCTTGTTCTGTTTGAATGACTGCCTCTTGGTCTGTGTACAGACTGGTCTATGTATAGGCACCCCTAGGTCTCAAAGTTAGCTAAAAAGACTCATAGGTGTTGGGTCAAAGAAGCAAGAGCTTGGGTACCAAACCCCCAGCCTCCCTCCCTCTCTAAACTGATGCCAGTCCTCTGTCCATGTGTGGAAAGGTCTGTTTTATAGTGTCCCATTCTTCTCTCCTCCAATTCCTTCAGGCCATGTTGAGCATTTGGAATTGATTCTAAGGGCTATGGGAACTGGTGGGGGGGTGTAAGCTGGGGAGTTGGAAGATCATTCTGACTTCGTCCAGTCGTAAACTGGATGAGAGGAGCACACGTGTGTAACTTGGGAGGGGGAGAAACCTTAGCAAGATGGGAACCCAGCCACAGAGGGAAGTAGATCTATTCAGTATACAAGTTCTTACATTAGGGATGGTCAAAGGAAAATAGACATATGTGAAATGTTTCCCATTCCAAATTTTATGACCTGTGCAATATCAGCAAAGGTAAAAGACAAATGATACACCAGAGAAAATATCGGCAGTATGAATGGCAGGCAAAAGGTAAGTGTCCCCACTATATAGAAGGCTCTTAAGAAAAGCTAAGGGGACTACAATAATCCAACTGGAAAACAGGAGAGCCCGTGATTAGACAATTTGCAGACAGGAAATATAAGGAGCATAATATGAAAGAATATTCAACCATACTGGTCGTCAGGAACACTCGAATTAAAATAACAAACTCACCAGATGGCAAAAATAAATATAATGATAAAACCTGGTCCTGAAGATGATGTGGGTGACAGCACTAGTGAGTTGACGATGGGAATGTGATTGCTACGAAGTAAGTGGCATTGTCTGTTTCAATTAAAGATACATATCTTCTGAATAACAATCCCATTTTGGAGAACTTATTTCATAGAAATGAAATAAACATACATACATAGATACAGATATAAATAACAACTAGGGGTAACAGAGAAAAGCACAGATATACATAAGTGTGTGTGTATGTATGTATGCTTGTATGTAATGTTTATGGGAGTAAAACATGGGATGCAAAGTCAATGACAGGAAAATATTTCAATAACTTATGATGCATCCGTGGTATGAAATACTATACGGCTATTGTTAAGTTTTTCTTTACTCATTATTATCAGTCCACTGGTTACAACCAGCATGTATTAATTGTGCAATATGAAAGTATAATTAAGATACAGAGGAAAGAAGACATGATCACACAGGCATCTCACCATTCTGCTTACTGCTTTACCCCAGAAGCAACTGGTCCTTCCCTGCACATCACAGCTGCACAGAAAACGCTCGATAAATGAATGGACGGACCAATTCCAATCTGGTTTTGCCTCAGCCACTTTTCCAAACCCAACAGCAGACGATTGCCTGCTCCTCACGTGCTTACAAACTCTTAGATGCCCTCTTGACTTGATGAATGCTCTATGGTCTAGGTTTATTCATTATTACTTTTGTGGCAAAATAGAGATTCATGAGGCCAACAACACAAACACTGTGAATTTAAACTTACCTCTTTCATCTCCAGGTGCTTCTCTCCCCCTGTGTAACCTCCATTTTTGTTCAAGAAGATGCTGCATCGGGTAAGTAGGTCAGTTTCATAGCGGGGACTAGAAGGAGTGTGTGGTTAGAGGCGCACTGTCAAGTTTCCATGGAGGGGCCCGTCCTGCACCGTGGAGGGCCATGGGCTTTCTTGGCTGCCTTTGCTGGAAAGCCCACGTCCAGGCAGCACTATCCAGAAACCAGAGTGCAGTCCACTGCCAGCTGACCACCATTCATGTCACATGCCACAGCAGCACTGCTTCTTGATTCAGAGTCCACCAAGAGTTTTCAACAACCCATCGTATTCTAAGCACTACGCTAAGACACTTTATTTCCCAAACTGTATTTTATTTTATCGTTTTAACAACTCTGGAAGCAAGGTGGTGCCATCACCACCATCACCACCATCATCCTCGGCATCCCCCTTAACCTCATTGTTATTGTCATCATTCTGATCTTTACATACGAGCAGAAGGTCCAAGGCCACACAACTAGTAAGTTATAATAACAAGATCTGAACTCAGATCCTCTGCACATGGCCAGTGGTTTTCCCAGCTCTCCACTTGGGCCCAGTGCAGCTGAACATCACCTGTATCCATTCCTATAAGTCCCTCACCTGTTTCCTTTCCCTGGATAGGTTCCTTACTAGGTTCAAGTCCAAGGTTGCATCCCTTCTGTATTCTGCTCTCTTAAGGAAGTTGTTGAAGCCCCAGAGTTTTGAGAAAATGTCTAAGTAAAAGTCTCTGCCCAATGACTCAGCAATTTCACTCTTGGGTGTATACTCAAAGAATTCAAACAAAAATTCTTCAAACAGAAACAAAAATGAATGTTCACAGCAGCACTGCTACCACTAGCCAAAAGGTGGAAACAACCCATATGTCCATGCAGAGATGAATAAACAAAATGTGGTGTATCCATACCGTGGAATATTATTCAGCCATAAAACACAGTGAAGTACTGACTCATGCTACAACACACAACTTTGAAATCATTAGACCAAGTGAACGAAGGAGACCCCCAAGGCCACATGTCCTGTGATCCCATTCATATGAACTATCCAGAATAAGTAAATCCATGAAGACAGAAAGCAGGTGGATGATTACCAGAGCCTGGGGCCAGGGGTAGGGGCTGGGCATGGGGTTTCCTCTGGAGTGATGACCATGTTCAGGAACTAGCTAGTGGTGATGGTGGCACAACCCTGTGAACGTACTAAAGGGCACTGGATTACACTCTTAAATGACCAAAATGGTGCATTTTAGGTTATGTGTATTTTAACACACACACACACAATCCTGCCCAAGCTCTCCTTGTGTGCTGGACGAATACTTAAAGAAGAGCCTCTGGAAGCAAGAGCCCATGTCTGCCTGGGGCTTCTTCGGAGCTCCCTGCCAAGAAACCATCCTTCCCCCTGACCTTTTGCCTCTGATGCCTTCTGTCTTAAATTCCAAATTACTTTGTAACTTGAAATTCTCGGTCTCCTGAACACAGTCCATTTGCCTTGAAAAGATGCCCTATGGGGAATATTGGCTTTATTTGAAAATTCACCAGCATTTAAAATCATGTCTTTGTCTCCCTTCTGCTGTGCCATTTGGAAAGTCTGGCCTCTAAATGAGGTTTAAACAAAGACACTCTCTCTCTCTCTGTTGAAGCAGCGGAGACCTCAGCTGGAGCGCCACATCGTTGGCTCAACCAACAGATGGCGTTTCCTCAAAGAACCTTTCTCTGGGGACCTGCTGGCACTTTCCCAGATGTGCAAGGCTTTGAGCATAGACTTTGATGAAATTCTGAAGGACCCAGACAGGTAGGGAGTCACCCTCAGGGCAGGGGCTGGGTCATCAGGATGAACCACCTTCCTGGTGAGGTGACCAGTGGCCAGGCCTCTCTGATTGGGTGGAGGTCAGAGAAGGTCCCCTCTGGCTCCACCCTAAGGCATGGTTGGGGTCAGAAGTGACTTCTTCCTCCAAGATGTCATGGTGATAAAAGTGTGGAAGGAAAATTGCTTTGCTTGTTTTCTCTAGATTTTCCTCTGTGTTGGGAACTATGAACCCTAACAGGATTCAAAGTGTATCATCCAGGGACCAAATGAGTTGTTGATAAACAAAACTTAGGTGTCTAGCAGTGCTTTTGTACCTCTCAAACCTAGTTGCCAGGAATCAGAGTGTGGCTACATCTCAAACCTAGTTGTCATGAAGTCAAAGCCCACTCCTGGCAACCCTGTGTGTGCAGGGTTTTCAATGACTGATTTTTGGGGATTAGATAACCAGGACTGTCTTCCAAGGCATCTCTGCATGGATTGAACTTCCAGTCTTTCGGTTAGCAGCCAAGTTCATTAATTGTTTGCACCACCCAGGAACTCTGGACAGCTCTTATGAATGCCCATTTCCCCAATCAACTGGCTTCCCATTGTACTCTGGGCACAACTTCTCTACACACTGGGTTCTCTCCTGCTTCTCCTGGGGACACAGAGCTGGACCCCACTGCAGAAGGGACACTTCATTTCCCTGGTGCCTGATGCCCCTGCTCTCCCTGCACTGGCAGAACCTGCCTTGAGAATCACACTGAACATGGGCTATATCCCAGGGTGACGCCTGGCACAGAACAGCTGCTTCGTTGACAGTTGCTGAGCAAATGAGCAAATTTTTCTTCCTAGAGCCATGGCTGCCCTGCAACACATACACTTTTGAATGAACTAAAATCCATCTGATTTGATGTCTAAGTTCTGTGGTGACCCCATCTCAGAAACATTGCCTGCCTCAGGTTGCCATGACTGGCATTGACTACTGATGGCATTAAACAGTCTTAAATTGATTTTTCATTTTGTTTGGGTAGAGTCTTGGAGAAGTGTTAGCGGTCCTGTCAAAGCTCATGGTGCTCCTTGGCACCAGGGCCAGGCTGGGGAAACTGGTGCAGGAGCTGGGCCTGGGCATATGGGCAACTGGTCCCCAAAATGGATTGGGGTGGGGTGGGCAGATGACCAGCAACACATAGATCTCCAGAGGTTGGTTTGTGGAGTCGCTGAGCTAAGCTGGGGCCGGTAGAAGGGGGAGGTGGGAGATGAGTGGTAGAAGGGCAGGGTATAAAAACTTAAGGGCAAAGGCAGTTGGTCCTGGGCATTAGGACTATTAAAAGCAGTCTATCAGAAGGGATTGGAATCCTCATTCCTTCACTCACTAGCTCTGTGACCTTTAGGTAAGTGGCTCAACTTCTCTGAGCTTTAGTTTCCTCATCTATGAAATGTCCATAACAGCACCTCCCTGTCATCTTGAAGATTAAATCAGACAGCACATTGAACGTGCTTGGTACTCTTTCTGACAAAGAGAAGATGCTCAACAAATGGAACTATTATCTCCACAGCCTGGGCAGCAGTTTTAGTTATTGATTCTGGAGATCTTGTTGTGGGATGGCCTGGCCCTGGCTCTGCCAGCCAACAACCCCATCTTTCACCTTGGCTCCAACACAAACGAGGCAGGAGAACTGATCTGGGCACTGTTGTCCAGGGAGATGCTTTGCACAACAGCCCTTCCTTTGTGATGCAGGGGAATAGGGGTCCAGAGACAGATCCCGATGAGTGGTGAGTGGATCCCTGGGCACTGCTCACTCAGGACCTGGTGCCCTGCTGGTCCAGACATGGATCAGCTTGGCTAAAGTTTGTGCCCCTGCTTCTCATCCTCCTCCTGGGACAGTGGGATAGCCTGGGCATGATCTGCTCATGCTGACAGCAGAGATGTAAGAGCCAAGCCCAGCTGCACCAGCTCTTTGCAAACTTTTGGCCACAGCATGTCTGCTAACATCCCGTTGTAGAGCATGGAGTCTGCTTAAGTAAAAGCTAAAGGGGTTTACTGGGGCAGACCAGAAAGACATCCACATTGAGTGAAGATGGTCACTCCTCTTCTTCACAATGAGGAAGAACATATTTTAGTACAGTTGGGATAGAAAGTAAAAAGTCACAAATTCCTAATTGTCTGAAAGACAATCAGAGGACTCAAAGGTGGGATATCTAGAAGCAGGGACTTAGAAGGGACACGTGGATAAACACATACGTGGGAT